TTTTCACTCGGCGGAAAAGGTGGAGAGTGGACAATTTGCATTTACGGCGGCGGAGCAAGGAGATTACATGGCTTGCTTTTGGGTGGCGGAGCATTCGCCGCAGATCACGGTGACCGTTGATTTTGATTGGAGGACTGGTGTCCACACTAAGGATTGGACTAACGTCGCCAAGAAAGGTCAAGTCGATGTAAGTATTTCAATCCTTTCAACAAATGGAAGAAAAATCCAATTATTTTCATTAATTTGTTGTTCTGAATTTAGGGTTTATCTCTCTATGTGAATTGCTTATATATATACATATTCAGGTAGAGTTAGACAGAAAGTTTTGCATTGTAAAACATTCGATTTAGGTTGCTTGTTGTAGTTCTAAGTGTTGAAAGCTAAGTAGATTTCTTCTAATGATCATTGGAGTCATCTTGGTTGATTGGAACTACCCGAAAAAATATTAAAACCCAAGTTGCTTAAGCTAAAGGGTGTTGCTGTCTCGGTGTTCTATAGAAAATTACTGCCTTTGCTCGATGGTCAAGGTTTGTTAACTTTACTTATACAGATCTACCATCTTCACTTAGCGTTAGGCGCTGGATATAAAGTTCAGTAGGCCGATCTCTACGCATGAAAATTTCATTGTTATTGGTTTAATATTTGGATATGTGGATTGGGCTATAAAGTAGATGCACACATTGTCTTTCATGTTCGTTTTTGCTGCTGTTGTGCTGAGAATATAGTTTAAGATTCCGACGTTTAACTCGATATAGATTGTGAGATTATACTATTCAAATAGAAGTACTCTCCTTAGAGCAAAAACCGTAGAGTTGCTTTCCCATATGCTCCCAAGTCATATCTGTAACACCCCCAACTCTTATTCGACCCGGATCCGAGTCTGAGGTGTTACATTGACTTTTCAAAACTTGTCTCTCATAAAATCATGAAAATCTAAACTTTCATTAAATAAAATTCGTTATTTTACATAAATTAAACCGTTTGATTTTACAAAACCTATCAGAGCATATTTAAACTCAATTTATTAGTACATGCCAATTATATTCGAAGTAACACAATACATCTAAAACATCTCTTTTCTGATCTGAACTTTGTAAGGGAGATGCTAACCTGTCTTGCTCCACTTAACTTCTCTTCTCGCTTTCCGGAACCTACGTGTGAAACACTACACCCTAAGTTTACGACTTAGTGAGCATAAAATATATATATAAGGTAAAATATAACTCCTAACGATGAGTGCATGAATAACTAATGCTATCATTTCATACGAAAGTATACATTCTTTCTTGTAACCTATACACATATGCACATATTTTACCATCTACGTTCTTATTACTTTTATATCATACTCAAACATATATCCGTTCACACATCAAATCCACACATGCATATAATTATTTTCATTCCTACCATTATCATATTATTGTCATTAATTCCTTTTTATCGTATAATTCTATACTTATCATTTATATACATCATATCATATCACCAAACAAACACATAACATCACATAGAATTTACTCATATAATATCTTTTCGATAGCCCATGTACACATGTGAGAACTAAAGATATGCGAGTACATTGAGGTTGTGCACATATGCTGTCACCACAGCTCGTATAAGTCTCACTGAGTGGCATGTGAAATATGTCCCGAATGGCCACTATCCATATGTTCCGAAGAACATAGGTAATTGTCCATATGTCCCGAAGGACTTAGGTAACCCTCGGCTGTTGGCATGCCAACTATACCTCTAGCCCTCATGACACATAACATGGGCATGATTATTACTTATATCATTTTACATGTTCACATGTACATGTCACTTTTCATATGATTTCATATCCATATATCACTTAGCTTATAACACTTCTCTTGTGTTCATATGACATGTATATCATTGTCATCTCTTGTTTACATATGTTTTACATAAATCACATATATTATGGACACTTAACATGTATCATATAAACATATATTCCATTCATATTCACATAAACATATCCTTATACTCCTAGAATTCTATACCATTGAACTTACTTCACTTTTCATGTTATCACACAAGTATATCTTATATGTCCTATCCATAACATATAGACTGATGCATGTACTCGTGTACTATTTAATGTAATTTGCATGATAATACCATATATACTCATATCATATAATAATTTCACCTAGGTCTCCCTCATAGAGTTTATACTACATGTTCATATAATTTTATTTTATTCTATAAGATATTTCTACTCATCTTATCTTACTTTTCCATTTGTACTCATATAAATAATTTATAACTGTTCACGTGATTTAATTTCACTAACATGTATTCATACAAATTATATAATCTATTTTTCTTATCTCACCTTATTTAGATATCAATTTAATCTATTTATTTAGTTCAATTCCTTATAGTTCCTATAAACTTCTCATATATTTCTATATATATATATATATAATCCGCTTGTCACTATTTCATTAAGCACCTAAATTTTTCCAATATAACTTATCTTATGTGTTCGTATTATTGCTTATATTCAATTCTCCTAATTGATATACTATTCTCCTATTATCCTATAGGTCACTATTATTTAGCTTATCTCACTTCTCATTTAATCATTTAATTCTATTATACCAGTTTACATAAATTATCATACATTCATGTACTTGTTTAGCTCATATCCCTATTATGTATATGACCTTTACACATGCTTATCTGACTCATGTCAGTTCCCATAAACACACTTTTATCCTATTATCATATTATTACATAATTTGTCTCATAATTCATTATCATATGGTTTATCTTTTGCTCTCTTATAATTACCTATCTCATGTAGCACATCAATCACACAGTAGCATATCAACATATATATTTATGCACACATACAAAGCATAACAAACATATGCTCGTATTCATGAATTCATATAATTTAATATGGAAATAGACTCATCGCAAGTCTTATTTCCTTAAAACTTCGTATACCTAGTAGTAAGCACTCACCTGACCTCACTGGTCAATATCGTTTTCTTATCTTATCTCGATGCCTATTTCTTTTCGACTTGCCTGGACGTTGATCTCGATCGATATCTACACAATCATGTATACATATTAACATTCCAAATACTATAATTCAATCTTTAATTTCTTAAGCTAGAAGAAAGAGTTAATCCAAATTTTCTCTTACAAGGGTATCGATACCTCCCCCTAGGTATCGATACCCCTATTGCATTCTGAAATTCTCCTTCAAAGATTGTATCGATACCTTCCTTAAGGTATCGATATCCTGGGTATCGATACAATTCTTCAAGGTATCAGTACTCCTAGAATTCCTTCCTTAATTTTACTCTTGAGGTATTAGTACCTGTTGAATGGGTATCGATACCCCCTTGCCCAGAATTCACTTTTAAGCCCGAAAATTCACCCAAACTTACTTTATTCTTCTTATGTAACCTCATTTTAGCCCTTCAAACTTAACTACACTTAGCCTAGCCAACTTATATCACTTGAACTCAACTTTATATCCCAAATTCCCTCTTAAATTTGGAAACCAAGAATCTTACCATTTTCTCAACATGTTCTAAATTGGATTCTATCACTTCCTATTTCTTAATTCAACTGATGACAAGTCAAATTTATCTTCAAATTTAACTTATCAACTCTTCTTCAAGATTTCACTTAAAAACTCCTAATCTTTAATCCATATTATCTTTTCCATCTTATAGTTTTAAGATAACTTAAGTTTTCCTTAAACTTATGTATCATCCAATGATCACAACCAACAAAAAAATTCAACAAGAAATTAATCATCTGAAAAACTCACATTTTCTTGGAGCTCATGGCCACGATGGAGAAGAAGAGAACCCACTCTCCAGACTCTTCTTTTTTTTTCCCTCTATTCCCACGTTATATCCTATATAAAGGGGGAAATCTTTCTTATAAAATTACCATTATAACCTTCAAACTTTCCATAATTACCATTTAATCTAATACAGAATATTCTTATTTAAGTCCTTGAACTTTTAACTTGTTTCGAAATCGAGCACATAGTTTTCAAAATTTGCAATTTAGTCACTAGCCCTGATTTTGGAATGTTACAATATCCTTAGCTAAAGATTATTGCAGTAATGATGCATGCTAATTAGGGAAACCCTCTCTACCAACACATGTCCCACTGTCACTCTTCACGAACTTACACATGCGAGGGTGGTTTGTGTTCCTATTGCTTCGGATCTCTAAGAGTACACCCTTAATTGGGAAATAAACCTACTTTGATGTTCCGTGTCGCTCGGATTCTTTATTTCGGAAATGAGCATGAGAAATACTATGCAACATAAATGGTGCTTATGTTTTTACCCTCGTACGAATGCTATGTGAATACCAGGCAATGGAACTGGAGCTGAAGAATCTGTATGATACTGTTCAATCCATTCACGAGGAAATGTTATATCTGCGTGAAAGGTAAGGAAACATCTTATCAGTTGTTGCAACATAGTTCTCTTCCTTCAAATCATATTTCTTAACTCACTGTTTTCGAATCTGCATATGATTTTTGATTTCTAGAGAAGAAGAAATGCAGGAGCTGAACAAAGCTACGACCTCCAAAATGTTCTGGTTGTCGTTCCTCTCGCTGTTTCTTTGCTTATCGGTTGCTGGGTTACAATTTTGGCACCTGAAATCCTTCTTTGAAAAGAAGAAGCTCATTTAGGTTTGTAAGACCATAGATTTTCACTGTTTATGTTGTACTCCGGCAATATATTTTGACAGAGATTTTCATTGGGATGTTTATCGCTGATTTCATCAAACCTTGTATGCAATTCGAAGTTTTTAACCATGGAAGAAAAAGGGAAAGAAATCATAGGAAATGGGTAAATCTTTTGTGTGTTTTCAGAAGATGGCCGAGTTCATTAAGCATTCCAAATTTAAAAAGAAATTTCCACAACATAAACCCGCTGTCTATGAAATGCATAGTGCCTGTGATGCAAAACTGAAACAGAAACCGACTTACCTTGGTTTTAGATCTCGATGAATTATGACATTTGGCTCATTGTGAAGATAAGCCACTCCCCTGGCTACAATTTATAAAGTAAAGATTAGCAAAATAGCCATACATATTAGAAAATACTAAAAGCAATCACACAGCAAATGCATATTCTCCGGAGCAAGATTCTAGCCATACATGTTAGAAAGTGCAAAAAGCAATCACACAGCAAATGCATATTCTCCAGAGCAACTACCTGTCGAAACTGACAAATGTGGTACGGATGCTATGGGTGTGTATCTGACATGAGTATAGTTAAAGTTGTCTAAGTTTTTCTATATATTTAGAAGATCCTTAGAGGTTCATATCCTCGTATCAATATATTAGATACGTGTGTGATATGGATATTCAGTAAGGGTAAAGAGTCGAAGCAAATGTAGGTTCTAAATTCTCTCACTGTTTTCCTCCAAGTTTTACTTGGATGCAAAAGCAGGACGACACATGTAGCTGCACTTTCCACCTGCTGTACAACTTAAAATAGAAACATTCTTGTATACCTTGCAAAGTTGACGGCTGTTGATGAACTAAGAGCTCCTTTTTCCCTGAGATATTGGTGAAGATCACCATGCAAATACACATAATGATAATATAAAAAAGGTAATTGAAGTAAAATTTGAGTTTCAAAATAGAATAATCAACAGAGAGATTGGATTGAGAAACATGTCTATTCATGTACCCCTCTTAAATAATCAGTAACCAACATATGGGGCTTCTTGTCAGTGACAGCTCCAAGGAATTGAACCACATTATGATGGCGGAGCTTTACAACCACCTTCGCTTCATGCCGGAAATCCTGACAGCACCAACAGAGCAGAAAACACAGAATTGTATTCTAAATTCAGTAAAAAAAAAACAGGACAGATAGCAAATTAATCATGCCACAACGAGCATCAGATTATTCGGGCAAGATGTGGAAGTGACTTTCAAAAGTTGACGCTAATTACTGTCATTACAGAAAATTTTCCATGCCTTCTTCAGTGAATAGTCATGATTATCTTTCCTTTGGGTGCTTTTTCATTGTAAATGAGAACATAATTTTCTCAAATATGAGCTTATAAATAAATCTTTCTAAAAAGCAGAAAAGGGCGTATACATTCAGCTATCTCTGTGTATAGGGAGATGAATGAGATCATACTTCTAAAGACCATTTATGAAAAGGGTCAATTTTAATGTAATTGTCCACTACGATTGTCGCATTCAGATATAGTAAATCTCGATTTCAGTAAATTAGATAATTAAAAATTACCTTTAAAGTGGCACCGTATTCTTCCAGCGATCTTGAGCGTTGACATCGGCGGCGCCATATTCAAGGAGGCAGGTGGCGACGTCGATCCATTCGTGGAGGCACCATATCCAAAGACCCATCTTCCTCTAGAAGCTTACGAACAGCGCCGGGGTCGTTTTGATGAGCATGCCATAAGATCATCGAAGTCCGGCTCAGTCTTGCCTTCTCTTTCTTCTTATCGATCGACGACGTCGAGCTCACCTTCCCATCCGTTCCACGCGCCGTCAATACTCCGTCCGATCTGTCTAAACGGAAAAATAATTTCTATGGCTTATAATGTAAATACATAAATAAAAGTAAAACTGCTCCTGATTTTCAGTTTTCATACTGAAAATAGCTGTGTCCATAATTACAGTGGGAACCGTCGTAAATTGCTCTAGTGTAGAATAATATTATTTAAATGATATTTATAAAAAAAATACATTAATTTATAGATTTTGGATTAAGCTAACATCAAATCAAATAAAAAATTATAAACAATGATTATTTTTGAGATAATTGAGAAAAAAAGCCACGTTAAAAAAATATGAGATCTACTAATTAGTCGAATGGTTAATGATGTAGGTTTAAATCATTAAAAAAAACAACTTGAAACGTGTTCTAGCAAAATATCATCCAAGACAAATGACAAGATAGTCTGAATCAACTCCGCATATTGGAATCAAATGTTCTGCCGCGATACACCACAAAACAGAAACATTTAAACATGTAATATCTAGCATGCAGTTGTGCGTCCGCAGTTGTGCGTCCTCGGTTAGGAGTGTTCATTTTTCGCTTTTAACTGAATTAATCGTCTGAATCGAATTAGTTCGATTAATTCAGTCGGCCACTAAATTAGTTTGGTCGGAGAACGGTTAATAAATTTTTAGAATTCGGTTAACGATTAATTTGGTTCGAAATCGGTTAATTAACAAAATTAATCGAAATTAAATTTTAAATATATTATATATAACATATAGACTCGGCTCAAATCATTTAAAACTCAATTAATAATTTAAGATCCAATAACTTTTAAACATAAATCAATATTAATTAATTAAAAATCCATATAAATTTTTTATTTTTATAATTATATATTATTTAAGTTAATTGTAAATTATTTTTTGAATTAAAAAAATCAATTTTTATATAAATTAGAAATTTTTTATAAAAAATCGGTAAATTCGAAAATTAATCAATTTAACCGAAATTTATTCAGTTCATTTAATATTTTCAAAAAAAAAAGTTCAATTCGGTTATCGGTTAAAGAAAAAAAATTCGATTAATTCGATTAATAATAATTCGGTTCGATCAGCCACCGTTTTAACCGATTGAACACCCCTATCCGCCATGGTTAATTTGTCCCCGGTTCGAAGCGAGCAGTGACTACCTATAAGCATCGCTAGACCTCACACCCTATGCCATTATCTTAGCAGACCTGACATAGAGGCTATCTACGACCTTGCCAATGTTGGAGATCGTTTCCAATGTTGCGGGGTAGATGCCATCAGTCCTGGGATCGTAGAATATGATGAGGCATCCGTTACCCTTATCCAGAGTCCCTGCAAACTTCTTATCTAAAATCATCTTACAAAGTTTCTTCTCCACGTGGGTCACGGGCAGTTCAATTAATTCGGCAATATGAGCAATCTCAACCCTCGAGAAAGGCTCAATCAATCTGCAAATATTCTGCTCCAATAGAGTGTCCTACAAGGAAAAAAGATGCCTGTGAACAATAGGATCTTCCTCCAGTTGGGCCTTGAAATCTCGAAGTGCAATCTCGAAAAGCTTCAGGGAACGTTTTGCATGGGCATCAGCAACAGCTTTCATGGCATCAAGTTCAGGCCCCACGTATTGTAGCCCCGCTTTCGTATTATACCAGCAACATCATCAGCCTGGCTCACCATTATTTTGCATAACAGCATATACTTGAGGCTAACTACAGCTCGAGGATCTTCAAGAGCATTGAACGCTTCAAATGCTTCGAAAATATAGCTATAAGCAGTTTTGTAGTCCTCCTCTGCATGGAGGATTCCAGTCTGCAAATCTATATTAACCTGTTGAGCTGGTGGGACATAAATTGCATTTGCTGCTGTTCTTGCAGCTGTTAGAGATGCCTTGGCTTTTGGCAGGTTTCGAAGAGAGAAGTGAAGCTTACTCTCCAACAAATCTATGTCAACAAGAAGTAGCTTGTCATCCAACCTTCTCACCTCCTTAATTAGGCCAGAGAGGAGATTAAGTGCTTCCTGGTACTCCTTGTTCTCCATCAAAAGAGCTGCAAGCTTTGCTTCAACTCGTTGGCGTAGGAAAGGTCGCTTCTCGGAACGAGTTCACTGCACAGAGAAATCTGGAGATCTGATGTTCCAGGTATTTTAGCTACATCATCAATTATACCACGTACAATTTTGGCAGTTTTTGCCTTGGGAATTAATGCAAAAAAGGGCCTCAATTGGGTTCGGTTCTCTTGTCTGAGAAGATCGGACAGGTTTGTTATGGCCTGCTCTTTAATCCGCAAGGCATCAGGAGAAGATGAAGGATTTTCTAAGACACGGTAGGGGATTGAGATAGCTTCAGATGGTGTTTTGGCTTCTATGGCATGAGCAATTGAATCAGTGGTTGCTGGGAGATGCGATGAAGACATTGCAATTTGCAAATGCTTAGTAATTCCAAATCCTGCAAAATCAACAATTCAGTTTGAAATAGATGGACTTGAATAAATAGCAAAATTCCAGTACAAAAGTGAATTAACCCAAGAAGTTTCTAACTACTTTGACAGCAAGATTGCAGCCGTGTTAGTCAGTAAAATATTATATCGAACCAATCCACAGAATGCATCGAGGAATTTAAGAGCAACCAATTAAACTGTTTCTTTGCTCAAGACAAATACAAGCATCATCAAAGGCAACTCATCCTAAAATTTGAAAACACAAAAAACTTTATTATTGTCAGCCTACAAATATTGTTTTTATTTCCATGTGCCATGTCAGAGATATACAAAAAATAAATGTGGAATCAGTAACTCTTTGGATAACATATACTGCATATTGCAACTACAAAATATGTCACTTGCTCTAGGTATCAACATACTGCAAACGAACAAGAAGAAGGGCATCAAAGTTTCCTAATCCCACGTATGATTTGTTCTCCTGTTAATCTTCAATCACGCTAACTTTAATTAGTTATGAGTTAGATAAAGATTTATTCGTTTAAGTTCAAAATTATATTTAGTTCGATTAGACTGTTCATCTTACTATTGTATGTTGATAAAATTATTAAAAATATATTTTAAAGTATATTTAAAATTAAAAAAAAGGGTTCAATTATTTAAACCGAATCCCTACCTATTAAAAGCGAATAAACGATTGCGTTTTGCTACATGGCCAACTTTTCTTATTTGAAATGCAAATATCTTAGCGGGTAGATTGACCGGTAGATGCTCCAATTACCGTTGGCTCCAACTATAAGTCAACGAATATATTTCAAATTTTATTTATTTATTTTTAAAAATAAAATCAAAATCATAGTGATAATTGAAAATATAACCACAAATAAAACGAACAAAATAAAAAATAAAAACGCTCTTTTTATTTTAAAATATTTTTTTTTTCACTAAAAATCATACTATCAAAATAAAATTTAAGTGAAAAATCAATCTTATAATCATAAAAACATTTTTCCCATATTAAAAAATAGAAAAAAAAGATGAAATAAATCCAAACACGAAATTAGGACAGTTCATTGATTTTAGTCCAAAGAAAGGAATTAAAAGGGCATTTTTGGTAATTGGTGGAGAAAAAGGAAATTAGAAGAAGAAGCTACTGCAACTAGAAGTTGATATTTGTTTTCGCCTCAATTTTCTTCAAGATCCTTCTTGTTTCGCTCGATTCAATCTCAACAGCACAAACCGTATAGAATAGGTATTTTTCTTTCTTCACAGTGTTTGCTGAGTTTGAAAATTTTGAAATTAGATATTGTCTCTGTTTTACTTTATCTTAGAGCTGCAGCAAGTAGTGAAGTGAAGTTATCGCAAATTGTTGTTCCTTTTATTTTTATAGTTTGTATATTTCTGATTCGTAGCTGTTTGAGCTGAATAGTTGCTCCATTTCTAACTTGAATCGCTTTCCGCGGTTTTATGATCCTGCGGTCCTTTGTTTATGGATGAAAATGTTGATTGGTGGCATTTTAGGGAGTACTGGATCCGGAAATGAGAAATAAAGTATAGAAAATTAGGCATTGCTGTCTGATAATTGTATAAAGGAATATGTGCTGAATTAAAAATGACTAATTAGCTTTTTGGATACGAGTTATTTAAGGGTTTCTCTTTTTTTAATATATATATATATATATATATATATATATATATATATATATATATATTAAGCATTAAATTGTTCTGGACCGATTGAAATGATTTAGGATTCTACTTTTTCTTACGAATCATCATTTCTGCATTTATGCATTGAAATCCTGCAAACTTCGTTATAAGCTTATGATGGATAAATTGTTGTGGAAATGTCTTTTTTGTTCCTGAAAAAAGTTTTATTTTGCTATGTAACAATAATTTAAACTTCATTCTTGCTGTTGCAGTTTTGATTTATAAGCCATCTTTTTGAAGAGTTTGAAGAAATGCTTGTATCTGCTCTACTTACATCTGTGGGAATAAATTCTGGACTTTGTGTATTATTCTTCACATTGTATTCAATTTTAAAGAAACAGCCTAGTAATTATGAAGTTTATGTACCACGCTTGGTGGCTGAAGGGAAATCTAAGCGGAGAAGTTCGTTCAACTTAGAAAGGTTAATACCATCTACTGGCTGGGTCAAAAGGGCATGGAAGCCATCTGAAGAGGACCTTTTGTCAACCTCCGGCTTAGATGTTGTTGTCTTTATGCATATTATAACATTTAGGTAAGTGATTTTTTCGTACGGAAGTGTATGCTACTGTCAAGAAGAAATCATTAGATATAATGTGATTTCTGCAGCTTCATAAGTAATCAATTAAGAGATCTTGGGTTATAAATTTTGGTTTTAGTTTTCCTTTTTTCTTATTTAGTCCTTGTTTTTATTTATTATGTGTGTGCCAGATAGAGAGAGAGAGATTGCAAAACATTGATTGTTTAAGTGCAAATAAATTCAATCCTTAGACTTCTCATATTTCTTTTGTTTTCTTTTTCAGCTGTATACATGCACTACATGATCTTCAAGTTTTCCTTGATACTTGATATTAGCATTTTTGTAAGGTTTTATCGAGTGCCTTTCTGACTCAACCTTGTGTTGTTTATTTTCTCTTAATACTGCAGTTTGAAAGTATTTTTGTTTGCTGGGGTTATTGGTATATTTGTTCTTCTCCCAGTGAATTGCTCTGGAGATCAGCTTCAGGATATTGATTTTGCTGATTTGTCAAATAATTCTTTGGATGTGTTTTCCATTTCAAATCTAAGCAGTGGCTCAAAAAGGTAAGTTCTAGTTTAAAGTTACTTTTCACTTGAGTGAACGTTGATTCTGCATGTCTACTTGACCTAGTGAAATAGATGAATACCTTCAAAATTTAACTTTTTAAGTCTTATGTATGTTTGAAACCTAATATAGATAAGTCATGTCATAGAAAGATAATGTTTTATATTCTTAAGTCTTAAAGAACTGGTGATCATCTGTTAGAACTGAGAGGTTTTAGTTTTATCATATGATTAGGACCTAGTCAAGTGTAAAAGGGACTTATTAGTTTTATCATTTTTGGCAGGTTATGGGCTCACTTTAGTGCTGTGTATCTTGTCACTGCATTCGTTTGCTATCTGCTCTATTATGTAAGTCTAGTTCTACGCACCAAAGAAACTCGATTAACAGAAGTCAACTGCATCAAAGTCCTTAGTCTATTATATGAAATTTCAAGTCTTATTTTTGTTTGAACAGTATATTATCTATCTCAATGTCCCAGGGATGCTAAGAACATAGCTGGTGTTATCGATCATTATTTTCCTTTACTTGAAAATGATGTTGGAGCTATTTAAGCGAGTATGAACTGGGTACTAAGTGGTGATTTTTCTGCAGGAATTTAAATATATAACTGCAAAAAGGATTGATTTTTTTCACTCAACTAAACCTCAGCCTCATCAATTCACAATATTGGTGCGCAGTATCCCTGTTTCTGCTGGGAATAGTGTGAGAGAGAGTGTTGAAAGGTTTTTCCTGGAGTACCATCCTTCTACATACCTTTCACATATGGTTGTTCATCGATCAAGTAAACTCCGAAGTCTCGTTGTAAGCAATTATTTTTAATGTTCTCATTTCCTTGAGCTTCTAGTTCTGGTTTACTCATTTTTTATATTTCTTTTTAATTCTTCTTTTATTCCCCTTTTTATGTGTGATCAGTTAACGTAAATGAGCAATATTTTCATCTTAAGCCTGTGGATTTGTTTCTATGTATGGTTAAGTGTATGCTAGTGGTACTAAAGTGAATCATGTCTTCTTTTTCTTCTGTTATCTGTGGGTTTAGTGTTCTGTTTCATACTTCTAACTGTTATTTCATTACTTTTTTAATTTCTTTCAGAAGGATGCAAAAAAGTTGTGTAAAAGGCTTACACACTTACAATCAGAATCTAGTCAGCAGAAGTATAGGCATGTTGGGTTGTTTCGGAAGAAGGTTGATCTGGTGGATCATTATGGAAAGAAATTAGAAGACGTAGAGGAGAATATGAGATTAGAGCGATCTGAAGTTTCATTGGCAGCAGAAGTATGTGTTTGTACCTGCTCTTTTTCTATTGGTTTTATTTTCCAACTTTTATCTGGATCTTGTCTAGCATTCTAAATTAAAGTTTACCTTTTCAACTAAGTTGGTTTGAAATTATTTTGTGGTGCATGGAGCATCCTATGGATAATTTCTTGTGCAATGTAATAGGAAGTTCGAGCAGCTTTTGTGTCTTTCAAGTCTAGGTATGGTGCAGCAGTTGCCTTCCACATGCAACAATCGACTAACCCAACAGAGTGGGTCACAGAGCTAGCTCCCGAGCCACATGATGTCTACTGGCCCTTTTTCTCATCAACATTCATGAAAAGATGGCTTTCTAAGATTGTTGTTGTTGTTGCATGCATACTCCTGACAATTTTGTTTCTTATTCCTGTTCTGCTTGTGCAAGGTCTTACTAACCTAAATCAGTTGGAAATTTGGTTTCCGTTCTTGAAAAGCATTCTAACCGTGTAAGTGTATATTAAAAGCTCCAGCTTATTTCATTTCAGCATCATTCCTGTTGTTTATCTTCTTTGACTGCTGTATATTTGTGTGTTGCTGCCAAAGCTTTGGGCTTGGAAAATTCACGGAAATCTCTTCCTATAGTCTACCAAACTATATCTCTCCTTTTCCCATAAAGGAGATTAAAAACCTCTGAGAAATAAATAATAGTGAAGTTGAGCATATCTTGATTTGGTATTTCTGTTGCTTCAATTTATAATATCAACCAGAACTAGATCATTGGAATTTTTAATTAGAAGATTGCAGAATCAGTTGGAAATTTGGTTTCCGTTCTTGAAAAGCATTCTAACCGTGTAAGTGTATATTAAAAGCTCCAGCTTATTTCATTTCAGCATCATTCCTGTTGTTTATCTTCTTTGACTGCTGTATATTTGTGTGTTGCTGCGAAAGCTTTGGGCTTGGAAAATTCACGGAAATCTCTTCCTATAGTCTACCAAACTATATCTCTCCTTTTCTCATAAAGGAGATTAAAAACCTCTGAGAAATAAATAATAGTGAAGTTGAGCATATCTTGATTTGGTATTTCTGTTGCTTCAATTTATAATATCAACCAGAACTAGATCATTGGAATTTTTAATTAGAAGATTGCAGAATAATTACCAGTTATATTAAATTTGTTACTTTTGATATAAATATTTCATCATATTATCGTTAGTGTAGAAATTTAGGTTATCTGAGCATTTTCATGTTATTTATCCATATTTTTTCATTTTTTTAGTAACACAAAGTTTGATTACTATGTGTTCTGTTTGCAGAACATTCGTCAGCCAGGTAGTTACAGGGTACCTTCCCAGCCTTATTCTTCAGTTGTTTCTCAAGATTGTGCCTCCAATAATGGAGTTCCTTTCCTCCATTCAAGGATACATATGCCACAGTGAAATTGAGAAGAGTGCATGTAACAAAGTGCTCTGGTTCACAATATGGAACATATTTTTTGCAACGGTATTTTCTGGATCACTTTTATATCAGGTTTCTATATTCCTTGATCCCAAGAAAATTCCTGCCAGGCTTGGCGTTGCTGTTCCTGCACAGGTGAGAACATTTTCCTGCCAAATTTCTTCGACTAATTTTATTCAATTTAATAGGGGAAAAGGGAATGGAGTTCTTTCTTTAGTGGTTCATAGAGGAATAACTAATGCAGGTAAAATATCTCAATAATTTCTCCAACTTAATCCGCTGGCAAACTTTCTTCTCGCGCGTGTTATGCGGATTCATTACAACTTTAATACTATTGAATCCAATTTAAAGGCAAATGTTGTATATGAAAATTTGATACATTACAGTGGGATATAATCTTACAACTCATTGTTAATTTCTGTTACCAAAACGCTATCCGTAACTGATTCAACTTATCATGTATGTTAATTTTGCTAGTTGCTAGTTGAAGTTCTGAGCTTTTTCGACTTTCGGAATATAGACAATGTTGCTACAAGAAATTTCTAATTTGGTTGACTAGATTAAAATATTATAAAAAATTAGCCATGATAATGACACTTCTATAATTCTTTCTGTAGGCATCTTTTTTCATTGCTTATGTCGTGACATCCGGATGGACGAGTACTTCATCAGAACTTTTTCGCATCTTCCCGCTTATGTGGAGTCTGATAAAAAAACCTTTCAGTTGTTGCTCGGATGAAGAGTTTGAAGTTCCATCGATTCCATACCACCGAGACATTCCAAGAATTCTTTTCTTTGGACTTCTAGGAATTACATATTTCTTCCTTGCACCATTAATTCTGCCCTTCCTCTTGGTGTACCTCTGTCTTGCTTATATCATCTATCGCAACCAGGTTAGTTAGCTATCCGTGTTCCATTTTTTTACCTACGATCTCTAATTGTCATTTTCATCTAAGTCATTTCAACCTAGTTTCTTTACTTAATATCAGAATCCGTTTATCAAGTGGGATGAGTAATCTACAATGAACTAACACATCTGGATAAATTGACATAGATCTAAAGACACTACTTTAGAATTAATCTTAGGTCATACCGCTGTAGGATACTTCTATTAGTAGATTGCAGACGACTGTATGTACATGCGTTATATTCGAACATATCCATGTTAGATACATATTACCGCATCTTTTTACGACAAGTTATGAAGTTTGAGTTGGTGATAAAAAATTCTTATACATGAAGCCTTCCTCAAGCTCGTAAGTTTGAGTTTCTGGTATTAAATTTGGACAACTTGCGTTAATCTTTGACAAATTTATTTTGCAGTTCATTAATGTATACGCACCGAAGTATGAGACCGCAGGGAAATTTTGGCCCATTGTGCACAATTCAATGATATTCTCTCTCTTACTCATGCAAGCCATTGCATTTGGAATCTTCACACTGAAGAAACTCTCATTAGCGTCCACTTTGGTTATCCCTCTCCCTATCCTCACACTCCTCTTCAACGAGTACTGCCGGAAACGTTTCTTGCCGAATTTCATCGCTTACCCTGCCGAGGTAAGTATCCCCACGTGCCATTTGTAAGTTACGCAATCGTACCATGAATCCTCGATCATGATCTTGTCTCGGATTTTAAATCTTTCAGGTTTTGATAAAGAGAGACAGGGAGGACCGACATGATCCGAGTATGGCAGAATTCTATGAGAACTTAGTGACTGCCTATCAGGACCCAGCCTTGCTACCAATTGAGTTTTCCTCAAATCCCGACAGTCTTAGTAGCCCTCTTATATCTGCTGCTCAAGTTGTACGTTAAGGTATGGTTTTCAACATTAGCTATCAAAGGTGTAAGAGGAAATGTGTGCTTGGAACTTAATTATGTTTGTTATTGTCCTCATTAATATACATGTTACTTGTGGATATCAGCATGTAAATTACTCTTGATTACTTTATTCATACACCTCCCCAACTTTGTCCCCAAAATTTCATGTTAGCAAACCTGGTTTTTGTCATTAAATATTTCTTTGACATAATTCAATCAAAAGCTCAATATAAAGATGTCTAAATATATAATAATTCCTTGAAATCAATTATATTGTAAAAATGAAACTGTATAGGTCTTCGTACTTTGCACTTTCAATACGTTTAGTATCTATTATTAATGGGCTTAAGTGTGTCCTGTATCCCTATACTGATAAATTGTAGTATTAATCAAATCTTCTAATCAATTTTGACCGTCAAATTTTAACAATTTTTCTAAGATTTTATTATAACGTGATAAATCACGATTTTTATCGGATGACATGAGTTTAATTAGGGATAAAAAAGTTTAAACTTTAATTAGGTGCACGTAATTTTTCCCCCTCTCAAAAGTTCAAGAATTGTACATCAAAAATAAAGTTCAAGAACTTTTAATACCCTTAAACTATTATAATTTGATCATTTGTATACTCCAATCTTTTTTAAAATGTGCATTTTCAGCTAAGAAATCAATTTTTCATTATATAATTTGATATGATTTCTTTAAACATGTGATATATAATATATATGACTTAACATTTTCTGCAGTTAGATCAATATTAAACTTTTTTTTCTTTCATATTTCTAAAGATAGAAAACTATTCAAATAAAAAAATGTCAATATCGTAATAGAAGAATGGTAAAATTAAAAAAAAAATGAATCTATCAAAATCACATGATTCATTTTTTTGAATTAATCACCGGTATCTTATCTATTGACCGACTAATCTAGATTGTGTATTGCAAAGGCGATAGCGATCTTTCCAACCCAATTTACTTCATTCTCAAACACCATGGTTTGAACCCCTAATCTTAAATCCATATCAGGTATTGGTTGTTGATATAGTATGATTAATTTTAATTTACTATAAACTATAACTAACTATATTTTTGCACAAATGTATTACCATGCCAATATATCAAAAGACAAGAGTAGAAGTTTAAAAATATGATTGATCTGTCAGCATGATAGCAAGTGGCATGTATAAGTGACCCACTTCAAGTTAATCACTCAATTGGACATTTTACGTTTAAAGATAATTTCATATTATATTCCTAAGACGTATTAGATTAGATCGTGATAAATTATTCATAATAAAATATATTTATTAATAATACTTTTTTTAATAAATTTAAATAATCTAAACATTGATGTATTACAAAGAGAGGAAACAATTCATTGTGTCTTTGTGTTAAGATTAATCAAGTTATAATGAGAATAGTAGTTTTCTCTCTTAATTTTGTATGTCGTTCATTTTCTTTTGTCTTTATTGATCGATAACGACACTAATTTTAATGTTAATTGTTGATTGTCGATATTTTTATTGTCTTTTTGTTTTTTATTTTCAATAAGTATATATGTATGACACGTTTTACTTTGCCTTTATAACAAATTTTCTTCTGTATTTTGGCACGATTTTCAATCATTTGACCGTTGTTTTTGTTTTTTTTAAGGGTTGATTAGATATCGTCACGTCTTATCAATATGACGCTTATAAGTTATATTGTTGATCTTCCCTATTTTGAACCCTCTGATTGGATTTGGATACTCGTTATGCGTTCGTTATTTCTTTTCATGCCGCTCGAGTCTGATTTGTGGCTTGCCGGTGGTCTTTCAATAATTTGATCACCTTTTATGATTCGTTTGCCTATGAGATCAGATCTGTTTGTATCTATTTTTGTTCGAGTTTTCTTGATTATATTTAATATTTTCTTGTATGACCTTCATGTGATCTTAAGTTGCTAGTTTTGTTTTGATGATTATAGGAAATTATCATAATTATATGCTTAACTTACGATTATGATTGTAAATCTTTATTGTAATTTAAGACATTTCTTATTTTGAATAAAATTAGTGGGTTTTTTTTAAACAAAAGAAGAAGAAGAAGAAGAAGAAGAAGAAACAAAGATTTAAAAAACCCCAAACCAGAAAACATAAACATACATACATGATTTTCCATTGTTTGCATACTGTCAAAAGATGTCCTTCCTTCCTCCTCAACTTGCCCAAGTCATGTTCCCCATTTCCACCATTAACACTGTTGAAACACACTTCTAATTACTTTGTTTATTTATTAATTGCCTTTTGATTGCCAATGTCTTGATTTAGACAACCAGTTGAGTTTAGGCTTTATTCCAATTCTCACCCATCCAATTTCATTGCAGAAAGCTCAATCATGCAAAGTGCTGCTGTAAATGCTGACAAAAGAAATACACTTCCAAAGTTGCTTATCATATCTAAACCTTAAAACCCCGTCAAAAATAAAAGATATTAATTCAAATATCTTTTTGGAGCGTATTATTTAAGATTACAAACAATACTCTTAAAGAATAATCTCATAATACTTCATCCCATAGGTAACCTAAGATAATCTCTTTGGTATATCTATTTTGCATTATTTAAAATTACAAAATATAATCTTAAATTCTGATATAGGATTGCAGTATTTAATTTACGAATATTCATTAACTCTTAAAAAAGGATTTTTTTTTTGAGAAAAAAATGTATCTTTAATAGTAGCTAAAGGAGAAGGGAGTAGTGTGTATGAATTATGATAGGTAATCAATGGGATCATTTAAGAGTATAATATCAGTACCCTTATCTCTGCAAATGCTCTTTGACACACAGGCCTTCAGTACAAATACAAATGGCCGAATAGCTTTTTTACCCTTTCTTTGCTATGGCCCTTTTCACCATCATCATAACGAAGAAGCAAGCTTTCTCATGAAACTAACTACGATTTCTTTTTATGAAACGCAGTATAAAGACAAAAGCATCTTATTTGCTTTGCCACAATCAATCATCTCCTCCTTATTCGGCCATGGCACCGCCACCACCTCCGCCATCAAACATCGGCCTCCGAACCATCTTATCGGAATCCAGGCGCATACTCAGAGCCCACACATGGCACTTCCAAGCTCTCTCAGTCCTCTTCCTCCTCCCTTCCTCTTTCTTATTATCCATCTACCCTTTTATATATCAACAAAATCCCCCCCCCCATCTTCTTCTTCCCGATTAAACCCTTCATCTCCATTCTCATTTACTCCCTCTCATCCTCTCCCTCTTCTCTCTATCTTCGCTGTCGGTTCCATCACTCACAGCGTTTTCCACGGCTTTTATGGTCAAGCTTCTATCTGCCATTAAAGCAGCTTACACTTCCTTCTTCCCTCTCATCTCAACTGCCTTTGTAGAATCCCTTATCGTTTCTGGGGTCAGTTTAATTCTTGTTTAGTCTTTTTTGCTTTACTCAAAACAACCCAAATTTTAGGCTTCCAAGTTCATCACTCTTCGCCTTTCTTCATTCTCCTTTGTCTTGCTTATCTGATCGTCCTCACATCTACTTCGCTTTATTTAAAAGTGAACTGGATGTTTGCTAATGTTATTTTCGTAGTTGAATCAAGCTGGGGAGTTGAACCTTTAAAAAGAAGTAAAATTTTAGTTTAAGGAATGAAAGGGGTTGCTTTAAAGATTTTACTATTTTTTGGCTTCTTCATTTCGATCAATATGTTGCAATCAATTATGATATCCGGTAATTCAGCTAGTGATGAATGGAAAAGTTGGGGCTCTATTTTGAATATCATCGCCACTACCGGCTACTACATGGTGCTTTTGCTTTATATTTTGGCTGCGTATACAGTTTTCTATGTACATTCCAAGGCTCTACATGGAGAGCTTGCTGAAGAATTTGCAGGAGAGTATGTAAGCTTGCCTTTTGATGATGGGAAAGTTCCTCGTGTTGTTTCAATCATTTAAGCTTTATGAAAAAACAGAAGATTCTTAGTTCCGTTTGTGTTCCGTTGTTGCTGTTTTGTTTTCTGTTCTGTAAGAAAGTTGTGTGAACTGTAAAACCAATGCTTCAGATTTGTAAGAACTCATTAAGAGGTATCGTTGTTGAGTTTGTTAAAGATGATTCTCTTTGCATCTGTAAGAAAACTGAAACCTTTGCACATATTTTTACCAGAAACTTAGGAATGTTCAATAGTTAAGTACAATGGAGTATTACAGCAAAGTACAATCGAAAACCTTCTTCCTTCTCGTCATCCCATATGCAAGTACCAAACGCCCAAGTATTGGCTCGGATGGAAATCAGTGTTGCCCTTTACAGCCATGGTCATCTAAATGAGGATTGTCACTCTGAAACTTGGAATTCTTAAGCCCATAAATCAAATAATGAACTTTTGAAACCGAAATCAAATTGGTCACAGAATTCTGATATTAGCTTGGCTGGATGTTGATGGTGCTTTTAGTTTAACAACACTCTCATCCTGTTCATGATCGAAAAGAACATTGCTCCAGTTTGTTGATCTCTGTATAATTCTCGAAGGAACTCGATCACTATCTTCTCCGCCCGATGCTTCATACCCATCACTAGTAGACCTCGACAAAGGAAATCCCTTGGGATTAGCCATATTGACAGTAGGTAAACCTGTTAGCCGTCTTGATTCTTCAGCTCCCGATGAGGAGACCCGAAATGGATGAATATCTGGCGAGTCTAAACTGCTCTCAGGAGAAGAGGCAACGATCCCAGGATAGCTTGACATTGCTCGGCTGGTTTGGAAAGCGCTTCGTGCTTCCAGTTGAAGAGGTGCCAAACTACACGATGTGTCGTTGAAACCTTTGTCGGTAGCTTTAGAGGAAATGCTCGTTAAGGGCTCCATGGGTAGATCAGCTGGGAGACGAACCCGCTTAGATGCTCGTCTTCTGCTATCAGCTCTCGAGAACACTTGTCGGCCACTGCTTCCGAAGCTACTTTCCGCTTCTAGCCCCAAAGGGGCTTCGCGTCTCACTACGGGCTGCAGGATTTTGGACTTTTTCCTTGCTTCAGCCGCAGCTTTCGAAACATCTTCTGCATTTAACCGTGCCAATGTCCATGGGCTGATCTTAACCGCTCCCGGATTCTTCTTCTTAATAGGTTCCTCCCCTACCAT